GAGATGTGTGCAAACCTGGTGGCCAACTACAAGAATCGTCTGACCTCTGTGATTGCCAACAAGGGTTTTGCCACCAAGTACTAAGTAATGTTTTGCAGAGGGGTCAAATACTTATTTCCCTCATTAAAATGCAAATCAATTTATAACATTTTTGACATGCGTTTTTCTGGATTTTGTTGTTGTTATTCTGTCTCTCACTGTTTAAATAAACCTACCATTAAAATTATAGACTGATCATGTCTTTGTCAGTGGGCAAACGTACAAAATCAGCAGGGGATCAAATAGTTTTTTCTCTCACTGTATCATATCACCATCCTCATGCCTGTTTCCCAAATGGCACTCAATTTCTTATTTAGTGCCCTACTTTTGACCAGGGCTTATGGGGCTCTGGTCAAAAGTAGTGCCCTGTATAGGGAGTAGGGTGCCATTTGAGACGAAGCCCATGACCAGTCCCAGACAAGCAGACAGGGCCCAGGGGAAGGTCAGGGGTCATGGGAATGGCTGGGCAGAGAGATGAGAAGTAGTATCAGCCTTAAACTTCACACACTGATTCAGAAACTAACACCTTTTAGAGTGACGACAAGCTTTTGATCGGACGGACCTTGCACTTTATTCGCTGTGTAAAGAGCTGCATGGCAGTGTGATTTAAGAATATGACAAACAGTGCTGACATGCACAGCGGAACCATACACAAATTAACCATCAAATGTAGCCTACAGTTGATAAATGTAGTAATTAAAAAGTCATTGACAAACCAAGAAGGCACTATCATCGTCTGCATTGTGTCTACCTAAATGCATATATTTGTTGACATCTACTTGGATGTCTAATACTAGGAAATTACTATAGGTCTAATACCTACTTAATTATTAATTGCTGTAACTAGCTAGTAGTGACACTCTGTCCTTTGTTGCTCTCTTGTCAGAGCTGGCCTTTAAGGCTTGTGTTTCTGTCATGTGAAGAGTCTCTCGATCAGATATGTGGTTGTGGTTTCCTGTAGTGTAGGTGGATATGTGATCACGGGAGTAGAGATCCTGCTCTAAGGTTGTCACATGTTACACTGTCAGGTCCTCTTGCTGCATTAGCAGATGTAATCAGTTATAAGTGTTTATGAGGTTTTGGTTGTGCAATACAGTAGTCAGATATTACACAGTCATATGCAGTTTTATAGAACCTACTACCTGTGTCTTGAATGGCCCAATTCTTTTAAAAGGACCACATCTTCAAATGTGATTATACACCATGAATATGAAAGAATTTGGCACGGCACGGCACCTTTGCCAAGCAGGCTAATTCAGATCATTTATGTTAGATTCAAGGAAATTGCCCAACACAGTGTTTTGTCTGCAAGCGCTGCAGTCCTTGAAAAATGTCCTTGAATCGTGACCAGATGATGATAGGATCTCATGTACACTGCTCAAAAAAATAAAGGGAACACTTAAACAACACAATGTAACTCCAAGTCAATCACACTTCTGTGAAATCAAACTGTCCACTTAGGAAGCAACACTGATTGACAATAAATGTCACATGCTGTTGTGCAAATGGAATAGACAACAGGTGGAAATTATAGGCAATTAGCAAGACACCCCCAATAAAGGACTGGTTTTGCATGTGGTGACCACAGACCACTTCTCAGTTTCTATGCTTCCTGGCTGATGTTTTGGTCACTTTTGAATGCTGGCGGTGCTCTAGTGGTAGCATGAGACGGAGTCTACAACCCACACAAGTGGCTCAGGTAGTGCAGCTCATCCAGGATGGCACATCAATGTGAGCTGTGGCAAGAAGGTTTGCTGTGTCTGTCAGCGTAGTGTCCAGAGCATGGAGGCGCTACCAGGAGACAGGCCAGTACATCAGGAGACGTGGAGGAGGCCGTAGGAGGGCAACAACCCAGCAGCAGGACTGCTACCTCCGCATTTGTGCAAGGAGGAGCAGGAGGAGCACTGCCAGAGCCCTGCAAAATGACCTCCAGCAGACCACAAATGTGCATGTGTCTGCTCAAACGGTCAGAAACAGACTCCATGAGGGTGGTATGAGGGCCCGACGTCCACAGGTGGGGGTTGTGCTTACAGCCCAACACCGTGCAGGACGTTTGGCATTTGCCAGAGAACACCAAGATTGGCAAATTCGCCACTGGCGCCCTGTGCTCTTCACAGATGAAAGCAGGTTCACACTGAGCACGTGACAGACGTGACAGAGTCTGGAGACGCCGTGGAGAACGTTCTGCTGCCTGCAACATCCTCCAGCATGACCGGTTTGGCGGTGGGTCAGTCATGGTGTGGGGTGGCATTTCTTTGGGGGGCCGCACAGCCCTCCATGTGCTCGCCAGAGGTAGCCTGACTGCCATTAGGTACCGAGATGAGATCCTCAGACCCCTTGTGAGACCATATGCTGGTGCGGTTGGCCCTGGGTTCCTCCTAATGCAAGACAATGCTAGACCTAATGTGGCTGGAGTGTGTCAGCAGTTCCTGCAAGAGGAAGGCATTGATGCTATGGACTGGCCCGCCCGTTCCCCAGACCTGAATCCAATTGAGCACATCTGGGACATCATGTCTCGCTCCATCCACCAACGCCACGTTGCACCACAGACTGTCCAGGAGTTGGCGGATGCTTTAGTCCAGGTCTGGGAGGAGATCCCTCAGGAGACCATCCGCCACCTCATCAGGAGCATGCCCAGGCGTTGTAAGGAGGTCATACAGGCACGTGGAGGCCACACACACTACTGAGCCTCATTTTGACTTGTTTTAAGGACATTACATCAAAGTTGGATCAGCCTGTAGTGTGGTTTTCCACTTTAGTTTTGAGGGTGACTCCAAATCAAGACCTCCATGGGTTGATACATTTGATTTCCATTAATAATTTTTGTGTGATTTTGTTGTCAGCACATTCAACTATATAAATAAAGTATTTAATAAGATTATTTCATTCATTCAGATCTAGGGTGTGTTATTTTAGTGTTCCCTTTATTTTTTTGAGCAGTGTATATTCATTAGGTTGTAAATACACAGTGAGAATCATGACTACTTAGTAAAGTAGTAAAACAAACCAAGCTGTTTAACTACAGGACTAAGGACACTGAGACATGCCTTTCTCCTCTCTCTCTCTCTCCCCTGCCTCCCTCTCTCTTCGCTCTCTCGCTCTCATGATTCTCTCTCCCCTCTCACTTCTCTCGCTCTCTCTCTCTCTCTCTCTCTCTCTCTCGCTTCTCTCTTCTCTCTGCTCTCTCTCATCTCGTACTCTATCCTCTCCCTCTCTCCTCTCTCTCTGTGGTCTGTCCGGATCTCTGCGCGGCTGAAAGTTGCTGGTCGAGACCATGCAGCAGGCGCCATACGTGGCAATCTCAAAACCAGTTGCAGACCTCAGCTTCACAAGTCAACCTGGGAGAAGTACAACTAGCCTGGCCTTTAACACCATGTCCTGTATAGTGACCAGGTCTACTAGAGCCATGGCCTGTACACCTGTCATACTGTTAGAGACCCGGTAAACTAGCCTGGCTTATAACACCATGTCATTACTATAACAAAGCCTTCCTTAAACACCATGTATACTGGTTTAGTAGGACCAGGGTACTAACTAGAGCCTGGCCTATATAACACCATGTCATTACTGTATAGTAGGACCAGGGTACTAACTAGAGCCCTGGCCTATATAACACCATGTCATTACTGTATAGTAGGACCCAGGGTACTAACTAGAGCCCTGGCCTGTATAACACCATGTCATTACTGTATAGTAGGACCCAGGGTACTAACTAGAGCCCTGGCCTGTATAACACCATGTCATTACTACTAACTAGAGCCCTGTCCTGTATAACACCATGTCATTACTGTTTAGTAGGACCCAGGGTACTAACTAGAGCCCTGGCCTATATAACACCATGTCATTACTGTATAGTAGGACCCAGGGTACTAACTAGAGCCCTGGCCTATATAACACCATGTCATTACTGTATAGTAGGACCCAGGGTACTAACTAGAGCCCTGGCCTATTAACCCATGTCATATTAAGTAGGACCCAGGGTACTAACTAGAGCCTGGCCTGTATAACACATGTCATTACTGTATAGTAGGACCCAGGGTACTAACTAGAGCCCTGGCCTGTATAACACCATGTAATTACTGTTTAGTAGGACCCAGGGTACTAACTAGAGCCCTGGCCTATATAACACCATGTCATTACTACTAACTAGAGCCCTGGCCTGTATAACATCATGTCATTACTGTATAGTAGGACCCAGGTTACTAACTAGAGCCCTGGCCTGTATAACACCATGTTATTACTGTATAGTAGGACCCAGGGTACAAACTAGAGCCCTGATGTGGTGGATAATATAATTTAAGGATTTGCTGAAGTCCAAGTCAAATTAAGATGATTTATTTCTGAGCTCAGAGGGAACAGAGTTAGACAGCACAGTGTAGACAGTCTGAATTCCGAAGCATTGGGTGATAAGCACATATCTTTATAGTTTCCTGTTCTTGGGCGGGACTTTCAGTTTCCTTTTATCTATACAAGGACACATGATTAAGCTGGTTTGCAACACAGAATTATACTCAGAAGAACAGGATATTATAATAGGACAATTTCACACAGTTTCACAAGGTTAGTCACATACTCAGTTATGTGGACACATACAATTAAAATGTCCCGTTACACTGGCCTGTATAACACCATGTCATTACTGTTTAGTAGGACCCAGGGTACTAACTAGAGCCCTGGCCTGTATTAGTAGGACCCAGAGCCAAGCCATTTCAAGAAATGTAAATATGTGGCTCTGGTAAGCTCCTTATACTCATAAAGATAGACAGGTTCATTCTAACACATAATTAGCATACAGAACATTTAGACACAAATGAATCACTTCTTATTAGCACCAGACCCCCTCCATAATAGCTTGCAGGCGAGGTGACCTTATGCAGAACAGCTTGCCGTGAACATTATCTGTGTTATACTGTATGCTTTCTATACACATAATAATACCGTAGTATGTGGTTTTGTCTCAGGCCATGAAGGTGGTGGGAGTGAAGGCTCACACGGAGCACGACAAGCGGCAGGTCTTACTGGATCTATACATTAGGTACGCAGCTGCCGCAGCACCCCATACTGCATGCCCGTCCACAATGCCTCTGTGATGTAGAGCACATCCATCATCTGTAGCAGCAGCGTGACAGTTAAATCATCTTCCTGTTTCCTCTTCTCTTCTCTCCTCACCTCTCTCTTCTCTGCAGCTATGCAGGTGATGTGGAGATCAATGTGGGAATCAAAAAGTACTTTTGCAAAGCAGGAGTGAATGGAATACAGGTAAAGAGAGAAATAACAGTGTGGCTGGGGAGTGGGAGTGTTTGAGAAAAAGGTTCCCAAATTCTTCTCCAAAGCTAACCTAATATCCTTGTCTTTATTTCTCCTTCTCCCCCCCCCCCTCTCTTATTATCTCTCTCATTAACTCATTATCTCTCTCTCCCCCCTCCCCCCTCTTTCTCCCTCCCTTCTGCTCTCTCTCTGTAGCTACATGGGAAATTGAGGGTGATCCTGGAGCCCCTGATTGGGGATGTGCCTCTGGTGGGAGCCATCACCATGTTCTTCATCCACAGACCTGTGAGTCTCTGTTACCGATCACTTAATTCCTTTGTTTGTTAGTTCGTCCATCCATCCATCCATCCATCCATCCATCCATCCATCCATCTATTCAATTAATTCATTAATTCATTAATTCATTCGATGCTGCCTTCTCATTGTTGTTGACATTTCTCTGCTTTCACAGAAGCTGGACATCAACTGGACTGGGCTGACCAACATACTGGATATCCCTGGACTCAAGTGAGTGAGAGGGCTCCTATTGCCTTTCTCAAAGTACTTATATAGTACTGTGGATCCACGTGTTATGCTGTTAGTACTGTATATGTTAGTATTACTTCAGGGTGATGACCTAACTTAGCAAGGCATTGTCCTTGCTCACATGTGTGTAGATAAGACATGCATCTAGGCATCTAGTTGTCTGATAATACAATGAAATCATTGTCAGTGCAGTGTTTAGTTGCTAACATCATAAATTCAAATATTCCTGGCAATATGTTTCTATTTAATTGTATTCAACTTAGAAATCACATTTAGCTTAAAATGATTTAATGGGAAATGTCCCCTGCCTCAGCCACATCCTTACTCAATGGGGTTTCCTCATTGTTTACTAGTTTAATGCATGTTCCTGTCAGCAGTAGAATGTAGTCTTTGTCTATGTGTGTGTTTCCCACCTCTTTGTCCCATCCCAACGCCTCCCTGCATTCATTTACAGTGCCATGTCGGACACGATGATAATGGATGCTATAGCCTCATACCTGGTCCTCCCCAACCGCCTCACTATCCCCCTGGTGGCCAACCTGCACATTGCGCAGCTCCGCTCCCCTCTCCCACGGGTAACCTTACTGACATTCTAAATCATCTGTCATGGAGAGTCACTGACTCACTGACTCACTGACTGACTGAAGCATTTACCAAACATAACAGATGGACTGACCCTACTTGTATGATTGACAGAGATAAACACATAGCTACAGGTTGTCCAGAAACAGTGGACAGCCAAGTGTTCCTGCTGTAGACTCTGTATTAATCATGCCTCTCTGTATGTCCGTCAGGGAGTGGTGCGTATCCACCTATTGGAAGCTGAGGAGCTGACAGCCAAGGATACGGTCATTAAGGGGATAATAGATGGGAAGTCGGATCCGTACGCTGTTCTGCGTGTGGGGACCCAGACCTTCACATCACACACCGTGGACAACAACCTCAACCCACAGTGGAGAGAGATGTTTGAGGTGAGAGCGAGAGAGAGACAGTGAGAGACAGAGCGAGACGGAGAGCGAGGGAGTGAGAGAGAGGGAGTGAGAGAGAAGTTTGAGGTGAGAGAGCGAGAGAGAGAGAGACGGAGAGCGACAGAGAGAGAGGGAGTGAGAGGTGTTTGAGAGAGAGAGATGTTTGAGGTGAGAGAGAGAGAGAGAGTGAAAGAGATGTCTCAGTGTCCTTAGTCCTGGAGTTAAACAGCTTGGTTTGTTTTACTCTGCAGATTCCCACAAAAAGGAGGCCTGCATATTGCAGAGATACCACTTTAGTGAACTATATACAAATATTTACAGAGATGGGAGCAGATCAGCATATTATGGGTGTCCCAAATGGCACCCTATCTCCTATATAGTACACTACATTTCAGCAGAGCCATACGGGCCCTGGTAAAAAAAAAAGGATTATATAGGGAGTAAGATGCCATTTGGGGCACAGCATATTGTTACAGCAGGACGCATACTGCAACACATTATGACCGACCAGCGACCAGCTCTTCCTCAGGCAGTGTGTTCTGTTACTGCTGACAAAGGGAAGCTGTAGGTTTGTAGAGAGATGAGTGAGATGTAAAGAGATGCGCAGAATTGACCAAACATCGGTGTTAGCTACTTAACTCTGCTGTGTCATGGGACATGAACAGTCTTGCACAAGGCTTAGAGTATGTCTTATAGTATGGGCTTTGGGGCTGTGGAGAGAAACACTGATGCTATGGACATTGGGGCTGTTGAGAGAAACACTGGTGCTATGGACATTGGGGCTGTTGAGAGAGACACTGGTGCTATGGACATTTGGGCTGTTGAGAGAAACACTGGTGCTATGGACATTGGGGCTGTTGAGAGAAACACTGGTGCTATGGACATTGGGGCTGTTGAGAGAAACACTGGTGCTATGGACATTGGGGCTGTTGAGATAAACACTGGTGCTATGGACATTGGGGCTGTTGAGATAAACACTGGTGCTATGGGCTTTGACCATTGTGACTATGTGCATGTCTGTGTTACTGCTACTGTTACTATTGTGTCATCTGTGATTGTGATTACATGTGTATATGTGTTTGTTTATATATGTGTGTCAGGTGATTGTCCATGAAGTGCCTGGTCAGGAGTTGGAGGTGGAGGTGTTTGATAAAGACCAGAACCAGGATGACTTCCTGGGCAGGTAGCGCCCAACTCACTCACTGACTGTGTCTGTAATGGCACCCCATTCCCTATTTAGTTTAATACCTTTGACTGGTTATAGTAAAGACTAGTGCATTATATAGGGCAGTGTTTTACAATCTTGGTCCTGGGGACTCAAAGGAGTGCACATTGTTTTTACCCTAGCACTAACACATTCGATTCAACTCAACGTCAAGCTTTTAATTATTTGAATCAGGTATGTTAGTGCTAGGGCAAAAACAATAATGTGCACCCCTTTGGGTCTCCAGGACCAGGATTGGGAAACACTGCCCTATGTAGTGCACTAGTTTTGGCCAGATTCTTATGCCCTACTCTGGTCAAAAGTAGTGCACTATATAGGGAATAGGGTGCCATTTGGGATGCACTGACTCACTCTCTTTGTTGGTTATGTCATCTAATTCATTGTTACAAATTTACTGTGTACCACTGTATGTTGTAATGTACATTTTACATGTTCCTTTATCTTCCTCTTTCTCTCGCCTCTTTCTTTCTCTCTCTTTCTCTCTCTCTCTCTCTCTCTCTCTCTCTCTCTCTCTCTCTCTCTCTCTCTCTCTCTCTCTCTCTCTCTCTCTCTCTCTCTCTCTCACTCTCTCTCTCTCAGGGTTAAAATGGATCTAGATGTCGTGCACAAGGCCAGAGTTCTAGATGAGGTGAGTTACAAGCGCTCCTTAACCATTCACCATTCACCATAGGCCGTATCGTCAACAGGGAGGGATGACCCCATTGATTCAATCCTATCACACCTAGAGTACTGTCCAGTTATATGGTCATCTGCAGCAAAGAAAGATATAAAAAAGCTCAAAATCGCTCAAAACAGGGCTGCCAGATTAGCTCTTCATTGCTCTATCCGTATGAATATTGTCCAAATGCATCAGAATCTCATGGCTTCACGTTGAAAACAAATTACTATCCAGTCTTCTGATTTTCTTTAGGAATGTTATATATTTTTTTAAAACACAGTATTTTTCAGACCAGTTAGTACATACTAGCAACACGCATAACCACCAAATCAGACAGGTCAATTCAGGGCATCTAAGACAACCCAAGCCAAGGACAATTCACCTTAAATCTACAGTTGTATATAGAGCCATAGCTGAATGGAACTCTTTACCAATCCATATTTCTCAGGCAAAAAGTAAATCCACCTTCAAGAAAAAACTAAAAGACCATCTAATGCGATAGACCATATGACTGGACAGGAAATAGAAAGCATCAACTGAATGTTAAATGTGTTACCTGTCAGGTATTTTAATTGTCTGTATTGTCTACTTGTAAAATGTTTGTAAAGTCTTAATTTGTAATGTTACATTTTTTTGTGTTATTTTATATTCTTTCGGGGGTAGATCAGCTTTAATATTGCAAATAGATTGTAACTTCCATCAATGTAATTGTCTGAATAACTTCCAATCCCCCATATGTTTTCTTTCTCGCAAATATATACTGTATATACAGTGGGGGAAAAAAGTATTTAGTCCGCCACCAATTGTGCAAGTTCTCCCACTTAAAAATATGAGAGAGGCCTGTAATTTTCATCACAGGTACACGTCAACTATGACAGACAAATTGAGAATTTTTTTTCCAGAAAATCACATTGTAGGATTTTTAATGAATTTATTTGCAAATTATGGTGGAAAATAAGTATTTGGTCACCTACAAACAAGCAATATTTCTGGCTCTCACAGACCTGTAACTTCTTCTTTAAGAGGCTCCTCTGTCCTCCACTCGTTACCTGTATTAATGGCAGCTGTTTGAACTTGTTATCAGTATAAAAGACACCTGTCCACAACCTCAAACAGTCACACTCCAAACTCCACTATGGCCAAGACCAAAGAGCTGTCAAAGGACACCAGAAACAAAATTGTAGACCTGCACCAGGCTGGGAAGACTGAATCTGCAATAGGTAAGCAGCTTGGTTTGAAGAAATCAACTGTGGGAGCAATTATTAGGAAATGGAAGACATACAAGACCACTGATAATCTCCCTCGATCAGGGGCTCCACGCAAGATCTCACCCCGTGGGGTCAAAATAATCACAAGAACGGTGAGCAAAAATCCCAGAACCACACGGGGGGACCTCGTTAATGACCTGCAGAGAGCTGGGACCAAAGTAACAAAGCCTACCATCAGTAACACACTACGCCGCCAGGGACTCAAATCCTGCAGTGCCAGACGTGTCCCCCTGCTTAAGCCAGTACATGTCCAAGTTTGCTAGAGTGCATTTGGATGATCCAGAAGAGGATTGGGAGAATGTCATATGGTCAGATGAAACCAAAATATAACTTTTTGGTAAAAACTCAACTCGTCGTGTTTGGAGGACAAAGAATGCTGAGTTGCATCCAAAGAACACCATACCTACTGTGAAGCATAGGGGTGGAAACATCATGCTTTGGGGCTGTTTTTCTGCAAAGGGACCAGGACGACTGATCCGTGTAAAGGAAAGAATGAATGGGGCCATGTATCGTGAGATTTTGAGTGAAAACCTCCTTCCATCAGCAAGGGCATTGAAGATGAAACGTGGCTGGGTCTTTCAGCATGACAATGATCCCAAACACACCGCCCGGGCAACGAAGGAGTGGCTTCGTAAGAAGCATTTCAAGGTCCTGGAGTGGCCTAGCCAGTCTCCAGATCTCAACCCCATAGAAAATCTTTGGAGGGAGTTGAAAGTCTGTGTTGCCCAGCGACAGACCCAAAACATCACTGCTCTAGAGGAGATCTGCATGGAGGAATGGGCCAAAATACCAGCAACAGTGTGTGAAAACCTTGTGAAGACTTACAGAAAACGTTTGACCTGTGTCATTGCCAACAAAGGGTATATACCAAAGTATTGAAACTTTTGTTATTGACCAAATACTTATTTTCCACCATAATTTGCAAATAAATTCATTAAAAATCCTACAATGTGATTTTCTGGAAAAATAATTCTCATTTTGTCTGTCATAGTTGACGTGTACCTATGATGAAAATTACAGGCCTCTCTCATCTTTTTAAGTGGGAGAACTTGCATAGTTGGTGGCTGACTAAATACTTTTTCCCCCCACTGTATATATAAATACACACATATATATATATATATTTTTTTTTACATTTTAGTCATTTAGCAGACGCTCTTAGCCAAAGCAACTTACAGTTAGTGAGTGCATACATTTTCATACTGGCCCCCCGTGGGAAACGAACCCACAACCCTGGCATTGCAAGCACCATGCTCTACCAACTGAGCTACAGGGAACTACGTATATACAGTGAGGGAAAAAAGTATTTGATCCCCTGCTGATTTTGTACGTTTGCCCACTGACAAAGAAATGATCAGTCTATAATTTTAATGGTAGGTTTATTTGAACAGTGAGAGACAGAATAACAACCAAAAAATCTAGAAAAACACATGTCAAAAATGGTATAAATTGATTAGCATTTTAATGAGGGAAATAAGTATTTGACCCCCTCTCAATCAGAAAAATGTCTGGCTCCCAGGTGTCTTTTATACAGGTAACGAGCTGAGATTAGGAGCACACTCTTAAAGGGAGTGCTCCTAATCTCAGCTTGTTACCTGTATAAAAGACACCTGTCCACAGAAGCAATCAATCAATCAGATTCCAAACTCTCCATGATGGCCAAGACCAAAGAGCTCTCCAAGGATGTCAGGGACAGGATTGTAGACCTACACAAGGCTGGAATGGGCTACAAGACCATCGCCAAGCAGCTTGGTGAGAAGGTGACAACAGTTAGTGTGATTATTCGCAAATGGAAGAAACACAAAATAACTGTCAATCTCCCTCGGCCTGGGGCTCCATGCAAGATCTCACCTTGTGGAGTTGCAATGATCATGAGAACGGTGAGGAATCAGCCCAGAACTACATGGGAGGATCTTGTCAATGATCTCAAGGCAGCTGGGACCATAGTCACCAAGAAAACAATTGGTAACACACTACGCCGTGAAGGACTGAAATCCTGCAGCGCCCGCAAGGTCCCCCTGCTCAAGAAAGCACATATACATGCCCGTCTGAAGTTTGCCAATGAACATCTGAATGATTCAGAGGAGAACTGGGTGAAAGTGTTGTGGTCAGATGAGACCAAAATGGAGCTCTTTGGCATCAACTCAACTCGCCATGTTTGGAGGAGGAGGAAGGCTGCCTATGACCCCAAGAACACCATCCCCACCGTCAAACATGGAGGTGGAAACATTATGCTTTGGGGGTGTTTTTCTGCTAAGGGGACAGGACAACATCACCGCATCAAAGGAACGATGGACGGGGCCATGTACCGTCAAATCTTGGGTGAGAACCTCCTTCCCTCAGCCAGGGCATTGAAAATGGGCCGTGAATGGGTATTCCAGCATGACAATGACCCAAAGCACACGGCCAAGGCAACAAAGGAGTGGCTCAAGAAGAAGCACATTAAGGTCCTGGAGTGGCCTAGCCAGTATCCAGACCTTAATCCCATAGAAAATCTGTGGAGAGAGCTGAAGGTTCGAGTTGCCAAACGTCAGCCTCGAAACCTTAATGACTTAGAGAAGATCTGCAAAGAGGAGTGGGACAAAATCCCTACTGAGATGTGTGCAAACCTGGTGGCCAACTACAAGAAACGTCTGACATCTGTGATTGCCAACAAGGATTTTGCCACCAAGTACTAAGTCATGTTTTGCAGAGGGGTCAAATACTTATTTCCCTCATTAAAATGCAATTCAATTTATAACGTTTTTGACATGCGTTTTTCTGGATTTTGTTGTTGTTATTCTGTCTCTCACTGTTCAAATAAACCTACCATTAAAATTATAGACTGATAATTTCTTTGTCAGTGCAAAATGTACAAAATCAGCAGGGGATCAAATACTTTTTTTCCTCACTGTATACATATAATTTTTATATATACATATCCTTTAAAAAAAAATATTTCCCTTTATTACTTTCCAACCCCACCACCCCTTCCCTAATTGGAGTAAACTAGTGAACAACAACGCTTAGGCCTCTACTTCCAGCTTATACATACTATATACATATTGTGGAAACAGTCAATTTTACTATAATTCTACTTTGTTTGTTTTTACTCCTGAACTTCCTCTACCTTCAACCTCTTCGATCATTTTCATGATGTCCATCTGGTTTGCTTCTATATGCCATATCTTTCTAACTGTGCTCTTTCACAAAAGCTCTCAACCTATAACCTATATACTTATTATGGACACAGTATGCTTTACATTAGTTATCTTGTTGTTATTATTTGTTGTTAGTTGTTATTAGTTCCATCCTTCAGCTCCATTTAACACCTCCCCTTTATCTCTTAACACCATCCATATTGGATTTCTATTTGCCATATATTCTTCAACTGTACTGTGATATTTCACAAAAGTTTTGAACCTTTCTATTTTCATTGTTTCTACAGATTGTAAATTGAAAATAAACATTTTTGCTAAAAGTATTATTATATATATTTGACTATGACTTTTCAGATCACCCAGTAGTGCTATCTGCAGGGTTAGCTCCAGGTAAATATTGGAATCCCTGGACCTGTGACCAAAAAAAAGCTACAAATGGACAGTACCAAAACAAATGATCAAATTATTCTGTCTCTTCGCAGCAAAATCTGCAGAGCTGGGAAGATTGTATCCCCCATATAAATAACATTCTATTGGTAGCAAGAATTTTGTATAATAATTTAAATTGAACAATTCTAAGTTTTGAATCCGGCGTCGTTTTGCATATCAGTTCATAAACACTATGCCATGGAATCGGTACTTCAAAAATCTCTTCCCAACTATTTTGCAATATATATGGGACAGCTGTCAATCCTTTGGTCCTTAAATGAAACTGGTATACATTTTTATTTATCACAATTTTCTTTAACCAATTATGTTCTTTAATGCAGGACCGACAGACAAGTTCCTTACTTTTTCCCCCTTCCAAATGTGTAATTGTTTTTAATGTCTTATTAATTGGTGTTGGACCCCAGGGAGATTAGCTAACATTACGGCGTTAGCTAATGGGGATCCTAATAGAAATTCACAAAATTCACAAATATACAGTGCATTCGGAAAGTATTCAGACCACTTCCCTTTTTCCACATTTTGTTACATTACAGCCTTATTGTGAAATGGATTAAATAAATCCTCATCAACCTACACACAATACCCCATAATGACAAAGTTTTTGCAAATGTAATAAAAATAAAAACAGAAATACCTTATTTACACAAGTATTCAGACCCTTTGCTATGAGACTCGAAATTGAGCTCAGGCGTATCCTGTTTCCATTGATCATCCTTGAGATGTTTCTACAACTTGATTGGAGTCCACCTGTGGAAAATTCAATTGATGGACATGATTTGGAAAGGCACACACCGGTCTATATAAGGTCCCACAGTATATGTCAGAGCAAAAACCCAGTCATGAGGTCGAAGGAATTGTCCGTAGAGCTCTGAGACAGGATTGTGTCGAGGCACAGATCTGGGGAAGGATACTAAAACATTTCTGCAGCATTGAAGGTCCCCAAGAACAGTGGCGTCCATCATTCTTAAATGGAAGATGTTTGGAACCACCAAAACTCTTCCTAGAGCTGGCCACCCGGCCAAACTAAGCAATCGGGGGAGAAGGGCCTTGGTCAGGGAGGTGACCAAGAACCCGATGGTCACTCTGACAGAGCTCCAGAGTTCCTATGTGGAGATGGGAGAACCTTCCAGAAGGACGACCATCTCTGCAGCACTCCACCAATCAGGCCTTTATGGTAGAGTGGCCAGACAGAAGCCACTCCTCAGTAAAAGGCACATGCCACCCCGCTTGGGGTTTGACAAAAGGCACCTAAAGGACTCAGACCATGAGAAACAAGATTGAACTCTTTGGCCTGAATGCCAAGCATCATGTCTGGAGGAAACCTGGAACCATCCCTACGGTGAAGCATGGTGGTGGCAGCATAATGCTGTGGGGATGTTTTTCAGTGGCAGGGACAGGGAGACTAGTCAGGATCGAGAGAAAGATGAACGGAGCAAAGTACAGAGAGATCCTTGATGAAAACCTGCTCCAGAGCGCTCAGGACCTCAGACTGGGGAGAAGGTTCACCTTCCAACAGGTCAACGACCCTAAGCACACAGCCAAGACAATGCAGGAGTGGCTCCGGGACAAGTCTCTGAATGTCCTTGAGTGTCCCAGCCAGAGCCCGGACTTGAACCCGATTGAACATCTCTGGAGAGACCTGAAAATAGATGTGCAGCGACGCTCCCCAGCCAACCTGACAGTGCTTGAGAGGATCTGCAGAGAAGAATGAGAGAAACTCCCCAAATACAGGTGTGTCAAACTTGTAGCGTCATACCCAAGAAGACGCGAGGCTGTAATCACTGCCAAAGGTGCTTCAACAAAGTACTGAGTAAAGGGTCTGAATACTTCTGTAAATGTGAAATTTCAGTTTTGAATTATTACATTTGTTAAAATTTCTAAAAACGTGTTTTGGCTTTGTCATTATGGGGTATTGTGTGTAGATTGATGAGGGGGGGAAAACAATGTAATCCATTTTTTAATAAGGCTGTAACGTAACAAAATGTGGAAAAAGTCAACGGGTCTGAATACTTTCCGAATTTGTTCTTCATCTTATGTACCTAAAGTGAGTCTGACATCCCAATAGGTTCAATAAAAGGTGATCTACTTTAACTATTTAGAAGCAGCTTCTGGTCAATTAGCATTTTAACATATACTAGCTGTTTTCTGTATCTCGTATAGAGAGTAAAAGTTCCATTGTGTGTAAAGGGCACTGAGCTGGAATGAAGACTACCCTGAGACATGGGTCAGAATGAAGGCTGAATCTGGTAATTCCTTCAAACAGCAAGTGTCATGCAGACCCCATGTACCTCCCTCCTCGTGATCTCCTGCTGGCTCAGTCTGTGCTCACCATTTCACCACAATAACATTATACCCCTTCATGACTCTCAGTGTTTTAGTCCATTTCACCACAATAACATTACACCCCTCTATTACTCTCAATGGTTTAGTCGGGGGTTAGTCAATATGTATGTTCAAGATCGACTACATGTCAGTTGGGCTATATCCAGTGGAGGCTGCTGAGGGGAGGACGGCTCGTAATAATGGCTGGGGTGGAGTCAATGGAATGGTATCAACCACATGAAACCACCTGTTGGATGTGGTTGATACCATTCCATTGACTCCATTCCAGCCATTGTTATGAGCCGTCCTCCTCTCAGCAGCCTTCACTGGCTGTATCATATTTATGTGGTTTCTGAAATGTTAAAACATCCTTTCAGTCGTGAAGGTCTGGTGCACTGCTCAGCCTCACTGCAATTCTCAAACATGCACAGTCTCTCTTTAACCCCCCCCCCCCCTTTTCTCTCCTAGTGGTTCAAGCTGAAGGATGTTACATCAGGCAGTGTTCACCTCCGCCTGGAGTGGCTCTCTCTGCTGTCCTCTGCTGACCGACTCAGTGAGGTGTGTCCATAGCGCAGTAGTTTGTAAACAAAGATGCTGTTTAATAATAATAATAATAATTAGTCATTTAGCAGACGCTCTTATCCAGAGCGACTTACAGGAGCAATTAGGGTTAAGTGCCTTGCTCAAGGGCACATCGACAGATTTTTCACCTAGTGGGCTCGGGGATTAGAACCAGCGACCTTTCGGTTACTGGCACAACGCTCTTAACCACTAAGCTACCTGCCGCCCTTTAAATATTGAGCTGTATCATTTTGCCTTCAAGCACTCTTCAGTTTTCACTTTTTTGCTTTGATCAGGTAAATCATAATCATATACCTCAAACACCCTTCTCTGTTTTCCCATGTGATCAGGTTATCCAGAGGAACCAAAATATGACCAGTAAGACTGCTGACCCTCCCTCTGCAGCCATCCTGTCTGTCTACCTGGACCGCGCTCAAGACCTGCCTGTAAGTACTGACTGACAGTAGCCATGTTCCAGGACGTCTTTATTGCAGTCGTACTGCACAGATGATCAGAACTCACCATGCCTAGGGAAGTGTTTAACTTCTCAGGAACTGTAGTAAAGACGACCTGGAACGCAACCTGACTGGTTCTGGTCTACAGTCTGTCCTCAGGTAGCCTAGCGGTTAGAGGGTTCGAATAAAAATCGTTCAATGTGCCCTTGAGCAAGGCACTTAACCCTCATTTGCTCCAGGGGTGCCGTACTACTATGACTGATCCTGTAAAACCAAACATTTCACTGCACCTACCCGGTGTAAAATACAATTTCCCCCCTTTTGTTTATGTTAGTGTGTATTATTTCAGTGTTATATGTTGTCTTTCAGAGGAAGAAGGGCAATAAGGACCCCAGCCCTATGGTGCAGCTGTCTGTACAGGACACAACCAAGGAGAGTAGGGTAGGAATTCACTGCCACACACCCTCAGAGAGCCTGACTGTAACCATTCTACCTAACCTAACTGTAGTGTATGTCTCATATGTTGTATCACATATACTGGATAACGTCTTCCCTCTTGTCCCTAGACTTGTTATGGGATCAGAGGGCCTTACTATTAACATTCTACCTAACCTATAATATAATATAATAATAATAATAATAATAATAATAATAATAATATAATGATAATTACAGTACCAGTCAAAAGTTTGGACACACCTACTCATTCCAGGGTTTTTCTTTATTTTTACTATTTTCTACATTATAGAATAATAGTGAAGACATCAAAACTATGAAAGAACACATATGGAATCATGTAATAACCAACAAAGTGTTAAACAAATCCAAATATATTTTAGATTTGAGATTCTTTAAAGTAGCCACCCTTTGCCTTGATGACAGCTTTGCACACTCTTGGCATTCTCTCAACCAGCTTCATGAGGTAATCACCTGGAATGCAATTAACAGGTGTGCCTTGGTAAAAGTTAATTTGTGGAATTTCTTTCCTTCTTAATGTGTTTGAGCCAATCAGTTGTGTTGTGACAAGGTAGGGGTGGTATACAGAAGATAGACCAAGTCCATATTATGGCAAGAACAGGTCAAATAAGCAAAGAGAAACGACAGTCCATCATTACTTTAAGACATGAAGGTCAGTCAATTCGGAACATTTCAAGAACTTTGAAGGTTTCTTCAAGTGCAGTCGCAAAAACCATCAAGCGCTATGATGAAACTGGCTCTCATGAGGATCGCCACAGGAATGGAAGACCCAGAGTTACCTCTGCTACAGAGGATAAGTTCATTAGAGTTACCAGCCCCAAAAATTGCAGCCCAAATAAATGCTTCACAGAGAAACAAGTCACAGACACATCTCAACATCAACTGTTCAGAGGAGACTGTGTGAATCAGGCCTTCATGGTCGAATTGCTGCAGAGAAACCACTACTAAAGGACCCCAATAAGAAGAAGAGACCTGCTTGGGCCAAGAAACACGAGCAATGGACATTAGACCGGTGGAAATCTGTCCTTTGGTGTGATGAGTCCAAATTTGAGATTTTGGGTTCCTTTGTGATACGCAGAGTAGGTGAACGGATGATCTCCGCATGTGCGGTTCCCACTGTGAAGCATGGAGGAGAAGGTGTGATGGTGTGGGGGTGCTTTGCTGGTGACACTGTCAGTGATTTATTTAGTCTGTGATTTATTTAGAATTCAAGGCACACTTAACATGCATGGCTAACGCAGCATTCTGCAGCGATACGCCATACCATCTGGTTTACGCTTAGTGGGACTATAATTTGTTTTTCAACAGAACAACGACCCAACACACCTCCAGGCTGTGTAAGGGATATTTGACCAAGAAGGAGAGTGATGGAGTGCTGCATCAGATGACCTGGCCTCCACAATCACCCGACCTCAACCCAATTGAGATGGTTTGGGATGAGTTGGACCGCAGAGTGAAGGAAAAGCAGCCAACAAGTGCTCAGCATATGTGGGAACTCTTCAAGACTGTTGGAAAAGCATTCCAGGTGAAACTGGTTGAGAGAATGCTAAGAGTGTGCAAAGCTGTCATCTACAGTGGGGAAAAAAAGTATTTAGTCAGCCACCAATTGTGCAAGTTCTCCCACTTAAAAAGATGAGAGAGGCCTGTAATTTTCATCATAGGTACACGTCAACTATGACAGACAAAATGAGAAGAAAAAAATCCAGAAAATCACATTGTAGGATTTTTTATGAATTTATTTGCAAATTATGGTGGAAAATAAGTATTTGGTCAATAACAAAAGTTTCTCAATACTTTGTTATATACCCTTTGTTGGCAATGACACAGGTCAAACGTTTTCTGTAAGTCTTCACAAGGTTTTCACACACTGTTGCTGTAACACTCTGGCTCCGGGACTTTTGTATTTGAGCCAGGGTGTATTGTGTTTTGTTGGGTTTTGGGTGATTTTCTATGTTGGTAGTTCTGTTGTGTGTGTTTCTAGGTTTGGTCATTGACTCCCAATCGGAGGTAACGAGTGTCAGCTGTCGGCTCGTTATCTCTGATTGGGAGCCATATTTATACTGCATGTTTTCCTGTGGGCATTGTGGGTTATTGTTCCGTGTTTCAGTCGTTGTACTGTGGACTTCACGAGTCGTCTTTTGTTTTTGTATTTCGGTGCTTTTCAATTAAAGTCATGTTCGTTCAACGCGCTGCGCTTTGGTCTCCTTCACTCCTAGACGATCGTGACAGAATAACCCACCATAAAAGGACCAAGCAGCGCGTCCAGGAGCAAAGGGTCTGGACATGGATGGAACTGTTGGACGGTAAAGGGTCCTGGACTTGGGAGGAGATCCTGGATGGTATGGATCGCCGACCATGGAACGAGACGGTGGAGAGGCGACGGCGAGAGGAGCAACGGCATCGCAGGGCCATCGTCGGAAGGACGAGAGGCAACCCCAAAAAGTTTTTGGGGGGGGGGCACATGGCTTGGGCGACTGAGCAGCAGGAGGCTGCCACAAGGCAGATTCAGAAGGCTACCAGGTTAAGGGGGCTGACGGAGGCAGAGAAGGGACGGATTCAGGAGGCTACCAGGTTAAGGGGGCGACTGGGAAAGGCAGGGAAGGAAGGTGTAGAGGCAACGGCGAGAGGTACTGGGGTGTGTAACCAGTCCGGTCCGGCCCGTTCCTAATCCCGAGGTACAGCCAGTAGTGTGTGTCCCCAGTACGGTACGGCCTGTTCCGGCCCCTCGCACTAAGTGTACGGTGCGCGTCGCCCGCCTGTTCCTGAGCCTCATACGAAGCCTACGGTGCGCGTCGCCAGCCCAGCCCGGCCTGTTCCGGCCACTCGCACCAGGGATAACGGTGCGCGTCGCCAGCCCAGCCCGGCCTGTTCCTACTCCACGCACCAGGGATACGGTGCGCTTCGCCAGCCCGGCCCGGCCTGTTCCGGCCACTCGCACCAGGGATACGGTGCGCGTCGCCAGCCCAGCCCGGCCTGTTCCTACTCCACGCACCAGGGATACGGTGCGCTTCGCCAGCCCGGCCCGGCCTGTTCCGGCCTCTCGCACCAGAGATACGGTGCGCGTCGCCAGCCCAGCCCGGCCTGTTCCTGCTCTCCTCCGCACTAGGCCTTATGTGCGTCCCCAGGGTCCAGCATGCCCTGTTGCTGCTCTCCGCACTAGGCCTTATGTGCGTCCCCAGGGCCAAGCATGCCCTGTTGCTTCTCCCCGCACTAGCCCTGAGATGCGTGTCCTCAGCCCGGTACCTCCAGTTCCGGCACCACGCATCAGGCCTACGGTGCGTCCCCAGGGCCAAGCATGCCCTGTTGCTTCTCCCCCGCACTAGCCCTGAGATGCGTGTCCTCAGCCCGGTACCATCCAGTTCCGGCACCACGCCCCAGGCCTACGGTGCGCCTCAGACGGCCAGAGTCTGCCGTCTGCCCAACGGGGCCTGAACTGTCCGTCTGCCCAACGCCGCCTGAACTGCCCGTCTGCCTAAAGCCTGCAAAGCCGCCCGTCTGCCATGAGCCATCAGAGCCGTCCGCCAGACCAGAGCCGCTAGAGCCTTCCGCCAGACAGGATCAGCCAGAGCCTTCTGCCAGACAGGATCAGCCAGAGCCTTCTGCCAGACAGGATCAGCCAGAGCCTTCTGCCAGACAGGATCAGCCAGAGCCTTCCGCCAGACAGGATCAGCCAAGCCTTCCCGCCAGCCATGAGCACCAGATCCGTCGGCCAGCCATGAGCAACCAGATCCGGCGGCCAGCCATGAGCAGCCAGATCCTCGGGCCAGCCATGAGCAGCCAGATCCGTCAGCCAGCCATGAGCAGCCAGATCCGTCAGCCAGCCATGAGCACCAGATCCTTCGCCTGGCCATGAGCCGTCCAGCCAGGATCCGCCAGAGCCAGCCAGCC